AGAGAGAGAGAGAGAGAGAGAGAGAGAAATCACAAGTGACCAAACTGTTAGACTATTTTTGTCAAAAGTAAAATCTCTTTAAAAGAATTCACGCGATATCAAATGATAAATCGCATTTTCACTATATATGTATCTCTTCACATTACTGATTCTACTCCTCTCTATATTTATGATTCGAGAAGAATATTCGTCGCTTTAGAAAGAATTTAAACAGTAATAAATCATACTTTTCCCCGTGTGATCTTCACACGAGCCATCTTTGTCGTTTATGACTTTGAGGGTGAATTTATCATTCGTTACTCACGCAGTTAACCACTGGCGGTAGCAATGAGGCCGATATTGCGACTCCGATCAGTGGACCGTTGCTTCCTTGAAGCAAAGCCACGGCTACACCTGTGCCTGATGGCAAAGCCCATAATACGCCCATCCAGAGGGATCTATAATTCCCTCTGAAGAAAATATCTATTACCTTACGAGAATCTTTCCTTTCTCTCTACATTTGTCCTTCACACGCACCTGCCCTTCATTTCATCGGTTGGCCAGTCATTGTAACCCCAGGGCATGTCCGTGGTGCCCAGGATGAGGCCGAAAATGAAGCCGAAAAGTATCGAGACGAATATGCCGAGTAATAAACTTTTCAGACCGATGAACTGGAGGTTCCTGTCGGCTATGATGGTCCCAAACGTTAACGACATCACCGGACCCTTGTTAAAGTGAATTAAATTCTATAGAGAATCGCGTAAATAATCTGCTGTCCAGTAATTGGAGATTAAGGATCGAGAGATCAAGGATCTCACCATCAACGGAGACACCAACATGGCAGCTACGACGTTGGTCGCACTATTTTCGATCAGTCCTAGAGCTGCTAGGCAACTGCGTATATAATCATGCAATTCGTTGGGCAATTATATAATTTTTTAGAGAAATTAACGTATCTTGCGTGGATAATAATCTGCGATAACGCAGAATTTATCTCGACAATTACACTTACTCCGCGGTTAATACAAGCAGCACGTAATCGAACGTAAGATCACCGCCACTGCGGACACCATCGACGACCTGTTTCACCGTCAGCTTCGAACGTATGGATTCTACGAACGCCTTCCAGGCGTTCTTCCTCTCCTCGGACTCCCTTTGTCTACGAATAAAAAACATTACGATTTCAGGGCGGAGAGCTATCCATTGCATTTAGTATGCATTAAGAAAATTCGTCTGATAACCTTCTCGCTAAATCATCCTTGATGGGCGTAGCACCGACGCCGCACATACCGCTATACGTGCACTGGGTTGGAATTACGCTGGAAATTGTCGGCAAGGTAAACGAAGACGTTTGGAAAAGCTCCCCCGGGGAGGGGAAATATCGGGGGGCATTAATTCACCTTACGATGGAGTTCATTTTCACACCGATTCCCATTTCCGTGAGGCAGTGGAGGCAATTTTCGCATGGCTCCCCAGCTGGTACGGGAAATATCACCTTTCCAGGCGGGATAAAGCCAGACGGTAATAAAAAGTGGAAATAATTAGCGTTGCTTGTCTTACCTCGTAATACATGTTTTCCTTGTCTCTACACCAGACAACGTGTTCCACTTTCAGCTTCCTTAGCAACTCCTCTAAGACCTGCGAGAGTAATGGCGACAGATGAAACAGGCAGAAGAAGCCTGCGAGCTTTTTATTGCGATACGTTAGAATGGCGCGTGCAGTTCTCTTTTCTCTCGTTATTTTGGAAAGAAAGACGTACGGGCAATTGGACTTGGACTTTGCACTTTACTTTCCAAATTCAAACTAACTTTTTTCGTTTTAAAATAATCATTTTGAAATTATCGTGAATTCAAAGGTAACACGCGCTTCAAGAACATTCCACAAGAGAATCCATCCGTGTTTCCATTTTATTGGAGCAAGCAATCGGGGTTTAGAAACTGCAATACCGTTTCCATCGACACGAAAACAGGGTCTCTGTCGCGCTGACCGGGAACGCCACGACCTCGACCTCGCAGGTACCGCCTGTCAGCCAAATCATCCTCGATGTCGAGATCATCCAAGTCGTCGTCGTCGTTCAGCCTCAACAACTGGGTCCTCGATCTCGTTTGCCTGAGCTTCACGTCGACTTTTGGCCCAACCATCAGTTTCCCTGGCTTTTCACTCTTCTTCGCTCGCTTCAAAGGCACGCCAAAGATCAACTCGTGCTCGTAGCTGAACGTAGGTATGCAAACTAAAAATACGACACCGCCAGGCATTGTGATTCACGGGACAATTGCTCAGTCTAGACTCACGGTTCCGCGAAGTTCAGTTCTTTCTGAACGGAACGATCAGTTCGCCGAAGCGTCGGTTTCGTTAACGAGCCGCTAATTGTTTTATTAGCTTCGGTTTTAATTAGCAAGGAGCTGGTGACGGATCAGCCGAAGGTTAGATTACACTTGTCCTTGAACAAGGTTTTCTAAATTTTAACTCTTTTCACTCTTTATCGTGATAGAGAGAAAGGGGAAATTTTTTTAGAATAGATAACGCAAGATTATGTTTGCTCAGTTGTGGAATGGAAAATTCTTATTTTTAAACGTTGTATTGCAAATTATTCAGTTGCATATTCTAATTAAAGAATTAAAAATAGGATTAAGCATATACTTCAATTAAAAGCAAGAGACACAAAAGCAGAAAGATGCCGAGGAAAATTTTCAAAAGGAGGAATGGAAATTTTCAAGTGTG